CCATCGAGCGAAGGGCCGTAACCCCCACAACACGCGGCTCTCCCCGCCTGAAACCAAGGCTGAGCCCCTTTGGGTGCAATTCAGCATCGCACGGTGCAAATCAGGGCAAGTCAGTGCGAACCAGTGCAAGTCAATGCAAATCCAGCATTGCTTCTCTGCCCAATGCCAGGAGAACACTGTGTGTGCCCCACCTGCACCCTCCCAGGCCCTAATCTCCCCTGGGTGCTCCCTCAGACCCCCCAACCCGAGCACTGACCTCCAGCACTGGTTTGGCACTGTTGTGGATGGAGAGGATGTGTGTCACCCCGTTCTTCCGCAGGCTCTCATGGTCCTCAGAGTCTGGGAGTGGGAGAAGCTCATCAGTTACCTGCCTTCCTGGGAGATCTGATGGACCAAGCACACATCACCAGCCCACATCCACCACCCCAGCCTCCTTTGCCCCTCATTCCCACTGCCTTTCATTCTGCATGATGCAGGGAAAGACACCAGGCACCATGATGTATCTCCTTCAAAGCAAAATTCCCCTTGGATGCGCTATTATTCAGTTGGATCCCTCCAAAACCAGAAATACACTCCTAACTTGGAAAAGGCTGTTGTGTCCTCGCTGTTGGAGGAAACACAAGCTTTCTGCTCCCCACAGGCCCAGAGGCCCCAGCAAGAAAGCCAGGCTTTTTGTCCCACTGTAATATTGTCTCAGTAAACACAGGGGAGGTTTCCAGCCTTGCCAGGGTTTCCCAGTGCTCCAGCGTTCCCTACGGATATCCATTTCCAGAGCTAGAGCTGCACAGGGCCACTTGTGATTAGGATGGGGCTATATGGGGGATTAGGATCTCTGGATGGTGCTGAGGTCCTCAACGGGAAGCAAGCACAGAGAGTACAGAGGGACTCTTCCAGCCCCACGGATCTGACAGCAACACAGAGGTGGAAACACAGGGAAAAGCACTCACCACGGATGTTCCCAAGGTAAAGGCCTTTGACAACCTGGGAGGTGACAGAAAGGAGATTGATTTCAGACAGTGCCAGGCACAATGTGCATCAGAGGTGGTGGGAGCATGGGGCTGCGTGTGTGGTACCAACAGAACCAGGGCATCTGGCACCAAACCCCCCCCCAGGCAGTGATAAACCAAGCACCTAACCAATGAACCATCTTCATTAATGAACAGCAAAGGCTGAAACCACCATCCCAAACCCCTCCAGGAGCACAGAGTTCAGGAAAACTCAGCGCATCAATGGAAGGGGCTTACACATGGTCCTATTTTCCTATCAGGATTGGGCTGAATTACCCAAAGACCTCAGCCCATTCCAGCTCCTCCATCAAGGTGGAGGTCCAGCGGGGACAGCCCCCATCTCCCCATCTCCTGGAGGAAAACCAGCCCCGCTGCAGTCTGGGTTTATTTATCTATTCTATAGCAACCACCTCTTGCAAACAGTTTCAAAGGCTGCCTCTGCCAGCTGGGGATAGACGGGCAAAAGCACAGGCTATTTATAACACCTCTCTGGCCAGGATGCTGCAGTAAGTGCCATGAAGTACATGGAGCTGGTCTCTGACTCGCTGCTGCAGGGTTATGGAGGAGAAAAGGGGGCAGCTCAGAGTACTAACAGGGAGCAAGAGCCCACCAGCGCAGTTTCCAGGGGCACAGAAAGGAAGAGCTGACCTGTTTGCACCCATCTGGCAGAAGACACTTGGTTTAAGAGGCTATAGGAAGGGTTTTCGGCAGCACTGGATCATTCAGTGAACCCATCCCTGGGGTGCAAATACCTGGATTCAGCAAATGCCTATGCCCAGCATGGCTCAAGCTGTTACCAATAGAAGGGGGACATTGAGCCCTGCAGCTCAAGTCAAAGGTGGATCCTGCAGCACAAACATGTCTGCACCAACCCAGCCCCTGGCAAAGGCAGCCTGGGCTCCCCAAGTGGGGCCAGTGGCACCAGGGAGGCTGTAAAAGCCACTCTATAGGTCAGGCTGCATCTACAGGGCATGAAACCCCGATGTTAAACCACACCAGAGCCATATAGAGGGAGTTCACCCTGATCTGGTCTCGCTGTTGTTGTCTCAGAGTCTATTTTTAAACTGAATAACGCACATACCGCGTGGTTATTTAAGGATACCAACAGAAATCAATCCCCCCTTGTCAGCATTCAGCTGAGCAACAAGCAGCAGCAAAACATCACATTCCCCTTTGCAGCACATGGCTGCTGGTCACAAACATGCCCCAGGGGTGGCAAGGGGAGGAAATTCCCCTGCAGGGACCCCCATCAGCCCTGAGGATGCTAATGCCATGGCCTTACCACGCAAGGGACAAACATATAAAGCTGGCTGTCACTTCTCTAACACCTACAGGCACTTAGCTCATCACCTCGGATATAAACCCAGCGATCACTGTTTGCTTTCTTAATTCCCTTTCTTAACTGCTTGGAGCTTCAAAGGGGAATGAGAAAGGGAATATTCAGAGAGTTCTATTAGGGCATCATGGGCGACATGGTCTCGTGGAAGGTGTCCCTGCCTGTACCAGGAGGTTAGAGCTGGATGATCATAAGGTCCTTTCCAACCCAAACCATTCTATGATCATAGTGGCTTTGAACAAGCATCCCCCTGGGCTGCAGAAGGTCCTGCCCAGGGAGGACAAGCTGGCCACCATCCCGCTGGCCCCCAGTACCTTGCTCATTCCACTCCCCATGGTTTTCCTGTCTCCAGGATCAGGATTCAGGTGTCTCCTCAGTATCCAAGGCTATCTGCAAACAAACACCCGAAAACCACAGCCAGAATGGTGAGATCCTCCACCTCCCAGCAGCGCATCCCTCTGCCAAGAGCAGGAGGAAGGAGGACATGTGCCAGGAGGGGAGCGTGCAGAGCCCTGGCGAACTCAGCTCACTCACTCCGCTCCCTCCCCAGCCATAGGCTGCTCCGGCAGGTCCCTGTGCTGTGCTCTAGGGTGAAGGGGTTGGAGAAGAGTGGATGGCACCAGGCAGGGGAGGAGGAAATAGGGATCCAAGGCCATGGTGAGGCTCAGGTTTCTCTCCTGGGCTCGATGTGGCTTTCAAAGCCTTTTGGGGAGAGGGAAGAGGAGGATGTTCCCGGCAGGAATGGGGCCCTTGTCTCAGCGATGCTTCTGGGCATCATTCTGGTATGCTGCAGGCTGGTACAAGCCCTGCACTCCATGGGATTTCTCTCCCATTCATGCCAATTCATCCCAGCCACAGGAATGAGAGCAGAATGCAGAATAGGGCACTTACCTCAAAAACCAGAGCGTGGCAGGAGCGACCTGCAGCTAACGGAGCACTGGGGATAAATCCATCTCCCCCTCCCTCCAGGAGCGGAGCTAAGAGGAGCTGCAAATCAGCTCTGCTATTCCAGCACATGCTTCAGAACATCCATTTCCAAAGCAGATCTGCCTAACAGCTTGCTGGCCCCTTCCCAGCTCAGAGCCATCAGCCTGCCAGAGGCACCAGCTATATGAAGAGCAGAGCAAAGCAAACCACCAGTGTAGCAAAAACCCTGCAGCCATCGCCAGGCTGTGATTCTGTCATCCTTGTTACATCCTTCTCAGCACCGCAGAGATAAGAGTTTCACCTAAGGGATGTTTCAGATGTAGGAAGGGGAGCTCGTGGCTTGACTCCCGTCAAATCATCTCATTTTAAAAGCCTCCTCTGTCTCTCTGGAAGGGAAGGGCTGGCCAGCCCCAGCACTGCGGGTCACCACACGTGGCTGTGGCAGCCCCAGGATTTTCCACCTCAGCTGCTAAACATGCACATGGATTTAAACCAAAGGCAGACCCATAATCAGGAGGAGAGCAAACTGAAGTTGAAGCTTGTTTCAGTCTCCAGAGGGGCATTTTTAAGCTGAAGGGAAAGGTTTGCCTGCAGAAAGCCATGTACAAGATTAGTCAAAGGGAGAAATACAGCAGCTACAGACAGAGCAAAGCAAAGGCACCATCTTTCTTAGTTCAGGGCTTGAAAACGTTAAGCCATGAACCAGAACTTGTCCAGCCCACTGTGTTTAATAGAACTCCATATGGTCCCACTAAACACAGAGATTGTCTCCGTCCCCGCTCTGCAGCGATCCCCTCTGAACACTGTCACCTCACACACAAGGCTGAGTGTGAAACATGCCTTGGGGCTTCATGTAAACCTATTTTTGGCTGAACTAGCTGTAGTAATTCCCTCTGTTCCTCACATTCCCTTCACAAGGAGGGCAGACAGATGGAGGGAGAAGCGCTGATCACCACCACGCACTCTGCTCCCTTTGACTTGGCCTTTTGGAGCACTGACATGCTATTTTTGGAATGGTTACGCGACGCAGAGCCTCTGCAGGAGCTGGGATCTGCTTACCTTACATGTAGCTCCAACCTCTGCACAGCAGGACAGCTGGCTGTGCCCCAAAGATATTCCCTCGAACACGCACCACTCATGGCAAGACTACTCAGGAAAGCTCTGCCCCTCGACCCATGCTACAGATTCCCATCACAACACACACATCCCGAGACCAATAAAAGGACACATTCAAGTTAACCAGACATTTATTAGCCTCTATGTAGGTGGAGAGATTGTTCCAGTACACAAGCAACGACGTCACACACAGGTGATGGAATCATTTCATATTGAAGCAGAACAGGTTCTACTGAGTTGCTTTATTTCTTCCACTCGTTCTTCTCAAAATCCCACTGGGAAGAGATGCCTTCCACGGGATTAATCCGCATGTCCAGCATTCTCTTCGTCTGCGCCGACAGCCACTCATCGGAGAAGGTGTGCGGAACAGGGCCATACACTGCAATTCAAAGGCAGGTGGAATCACATCACGATACAAAGCTGGGAACTGAAGTTTCACTAACGAAAAGCTTTTTGCCCCAAAGCCATAGGTGCCAATCACCCAACGCACCATCATCTCTTCAAACCTGCATTCCCTACATCCCAGTCCTGAAGCACTCAGCTCAGACCGGATTCCCACATCGATTCCCTAGCTGTTTCCGTTCATCTGTAAAGGCTTGTACCAAGACGATCTTCTACTTTCACTGCAAGTAGGTGAAGCCTCAGGACAGAGAACAGCTCATTTAACTGCATGCTCTGCCTTGCGGCAGCTGGAACACTCCCTTGAGGGAGCAACATTAGCTGGGACTGAAGCCAAACGTGGCAGAAACCCAAATGTTTACGAGCAAGGCAGCAAGAAGCTTTCCCAACAGCAGGTTTCACAGAAAGGGGAGGCTCTGGGATCAGGGGTATCATCCCTCCTTCCCTCCCCTTTCTTTTCCTCCCACCAAAGCTCTTCTCCACCACCTTTGCCTTTCAGTGAGTGAGCTTCCTGAATACTTACACTACGTCCCTGCTGACGTCCATGCAGAAGCTCCAGAACTGAGTTTTCAGATACTAACAAACAACAAGTGCCAGGAGGGCACCAGCACGGCTGTTGGATACAGCACTGACTCCCCGGAGCAGAGCAAATCTCTCATTTCCCATCACTGTTTTCCCCATCAGATATCAACCGATCTTGTTCTTCATTTAAGAGTTAACACCGTATGGTGTTTACTTACTGAAGTGTTTCTGCCAAATGAGGAGCAAACCAGTTAAACCGAGAAAGAAGAGCACTCCACCAAGGACAGTCTTCCATTCGTTTGTTCCTTTCTTCATCTCTGCATAGGTCTCGTTAAATTTGATACGATACACTGCAAAGAAATAGAAGTTAAAAGCATCAAATCATTCCTTTTCCTTTTGCTGTGACTTGCAGGCTGCACGCCACGCTCCAGAGGGAGGTGACCAAAGCCTAAAGCCAACCAAAAGGGATGTTAGAGCTTCTGAATTAGCTGGACTCTCCTGCACCAAGACCAAGGCCATCGTGCCATAGTAAAGGAGCTGTTTCACCATCCCCATGTGTCTCACCCCCAGCAGGTTGACGTTCATCTCTAAGAGTATTGTAAAGTTGTGTTACCAGCCCAAAAAAGGAGGAGAAACAGAGCTCTTCTTCTTCCCCTCCAGCTCCCAGCACAGTTACTGCAACCAAACCTTCTGGGCACAAATCATTTCAACATAAGCACGTGTATCTCAGATGGTTTCTCTCACCTTTGCCACTAAGGTCCAAGTGACTTTGAAATTCAGAACATTACATTTGGAGAGTGCTTACGAATATTTGAGCCGTTCCCAAGGGAGCTTTAAGCCTTTCCCCTTTGACACGGGCAGACACAGCACGTTCTCAGAGTGGGTTCTCACTGGCATACCATGATGTTAGTTTGAAAAGACAACACAGTTTTATTTGCAAGTCAAAACACCTGCCTGGCACTTTAATCAGCCAAAATTTGGCAATGCTGAGGTCAGCGGTCATTAACATTCCAATCCCCAGGGTTCATTTTTACTCAGCTGGACTAACTACTGTGTATTGTTGTAATGAGGAGATCTTCCATCTGGCTTGTTGAAAACGGATGGGAATCAAGAAATAAATATAATTATTTTCTAGAAGAAGAAGGAACTGGTGAACTTGTCCTCAGGTACGTAACAGACACCACAGCAGGAACATCTAGCTTTGAAACAGCACCAAGGATCCCGGGAACACCAAGCACTGATCTCTGCTTGTGTAAGCACAAGCAGCTCCTCTGGACAAAGCTCCTTATGGCAGAGCCATCAGGAGGCACAGGGGTTAGTGGGTGCACTACCAGGCTGTCAACAATTAACACGCCACAGGCTGGATCACTGTTGCTGGCTGTAAGGTGACTTAAAGCCCCCATTACTTACGTTCAACTTTCTCATCAGCAGACAGAGCAGTCCAAGATGCCTTTTCCTTCTCTTTCAGAGCCTTCTGCTGAGCAGAGAGATCCCTTACAAAGGCCACTTCGGGCAGGGGAACATCACGGCGGTCAACATAGGCTGGGAGGCTGAAATCATCTGCTTTGACAACACCAGCTGCACAGGGGAACAGAAGAGACACACAGTTCCCGACTCGTGCACAAACACCTCTTGCTGGTTACAACACAAAAACACCCGACAGCTCAGTCAGAAAAGTGATGTCAGTGCAAGAATCCAGGAGGGAGAAGACTTCCTGGTGAAGCATTTAAAATGGGTGCTATTTTAAGAGTGCATGAATAAAGCAGAAGGGGGATATATAAAAGGTAGTATCCAAAATCACTTTATTAATCATAGAATCACAGACTTGTTTGCGTTGGAAGGGACCTTAAAGCTCATTCAGTTCCAACCCTGTCCTGGGTTCAGCTATAGCAGTCATTTTTCTCCTTCCTAGTAGCTGGTGCAGTGCTGTGTTTTGGCTTTAGTCTGAGAACAACACTGATAACACACCAATGTTTTAGGTGCTGCTGACCAATGCTTACCCCAGTCAAGGACTTTCTCAGTCTCATGCTCTGCCAGGGAGGAGGGGAAGCCAGGAGGAAGCAGAGGCAGGACACCTGACCCAAACTGGCCAAAGGGCTATTCCATACCACAGCACGTCATGCCCAGTATAGAAACTGGGGGGAGTTACCTGGAAGGCCCAGATCGCTGCTCGGGTTGGGCTGGGTATCGGTCGGTGGGTGGTGAGCGGTTGTGTCCTCTCCCCTTGTTATCTCCCTTATCATTATTATTATTAGTGGTAACAGGAGTAGTGTTGTATTGCACCTTAGTTACTGGACTGCTCTTATCTCAACCCGTGGTGTTTACATTCTTTAGATTCTCCTCCCCATCCCTCTGGGAGCCAAGGAGAAAGAAGGTGGGGAGTGACCAAGCGGCTGTGTGGTTCCAAGTTACCGGCTGGGCTTAAAACACGACAACCCCCTGCTATGGGCAGGGACACCTTCCACTAGAGCAGG